CCTGTACACGCCCCTGCCGAGCAAATTGCCAACATTGAAAAACGAACCCCCCCCAATACAAAGCTGGCTACGGGCCTGCAATGAGTATGTATAAAATTGAGCAACTACGTTCGTACTTCAAAACTCGATTCCAGCCTATTGCCGGCAAGACCTCGACCAAGAAGTGCTCGTGGTAGTCCCCTCTCATAAAATATACATTAATATACTTAATATATGTATTTAAATTTAATTTAAATATTGGCTCGCTCACGCGTTAGCTCACCTCCGGCGGTTCGTAGTCGAATCCGCAGTCGTCATTCTTCGCGAGCTGCGGGATCGTGCAGACGCGCAGGCGTGGCGTGTAGATGGTGCCCGGCGGGCAGGCCTTGTGCACGGGCGTCGTGAGCGCGCCCTCGCACGCGTAGAACGCCGAGCAGTTCCGCGGGTCAGCGATGAAGTACGCTCGCGGCGTCGCGCAGTAGTCGAGAACGGCCTGCGGGATGTTCGGATCCGGCGTCACCTCGGCGGCGGGCGTCCGGTTGTTCTTGTTGTTCCTGTTGTTCCTGTTGTTCCCGTTGTTTCTGTTGTTTCCGTTGTTCCTGTTATTTCCGTTGTTCCTATTGTTCCCGTTGTTCCTGTTCCTCCCGGCCATCGTCACGTTTCCCGCGGCGGTGGCAGCAGTGGTGGCGGTGGCGGTGGTGTTCGGTTCTGGCGATGCTGCCGTACTCGAGGCAACGGTGGCGAGGTCACCAGGTGGCGCTTGTGACGTCGTAGTGGCGTTGCCCTTCTCTGGATTTAGAATGAGACGGTGGTGCTTACATAGTGGTGTTGATGTACGAGGGATCCCCCCCACTCTAAAGAAAGCTTGCGCATTCTTCTTCGCGTGGTTATATATTGAGTGTTTATGGAAATCGACATGTAACTCCATGTTCACTTCAATTTATGTTCCATCTAGTGCCAGTATCAGTGCCCCTTTCAAACATGTTACAATTTTAATATGTGCTGTTTGCATTTTCGTCTCGTACAGGCGTTAGCACACAGATGAGCACGTTTAATCACATTCTACGTAAATGCGCTATATTTCAGTATTTCAATTTTATGTATCTATTGAAACAACCTTCAGCTTAAGCCTGCCACCTACTTCAAGTGGTATATTCTAGCTTACGGTCATTAGCCGTAAGATAAGGTAACTTCCTGGTACACAGAGAATTACGAAAAGTGACAGAAAGTCAACTATATGCTTATATTCCTACCTGTGGAGTAGCAGAGAGCGAGACATAATACCACACAGAGCCACAGGCACTTCATTGTCGACGATTCTCGTGTTCAGATCTTCGAAAAATCGCACTTCGTCAAACTGCAGCCATTGAGATGTCGTCGCGTTGTTGTAGAATACGTAAGAGAGACAGGGCAGGGTTGTATACGGCGGTGCCGGCTGACGTATGTGTGCCACGAGGGGCAGGAGTCCTCTGTTCCACTTTTCACAGTTCAGTAGTCACCGTGGGTAGAGGTACCACACGTAGCACACAGCAGGTGAGCGTGTGGGCTGAGTGTTGTCGTCATGCACCGCTGGGTCGACTCGGCACAGTTCTATCGATGCTAATATACTTTTAAACAACTGTGTGTAATCGGCATCTACAGTCAATCTCTGTACGTGATGGTCACTCAAGGGAACCCCACCCCCCAAAAAGCTTCCTTCGTAGACGAGTTAATTCAAGACTGTAGACTGTTGATACAAGTTTCACTGCACATAAATTAGTTTATAAGAGTTGATATTATGAATGAGTATTGTAAACGAGTTCATATAATTGTTTGTGTTATCATAGATATAGAATAAAGACTTCATTCTATATCTATGGTGTTATTGATGTTGATTGTTGTTGAAATTGTCATTTGTCATTATTAACCCCTGATGTTACGTGTGCACGCTTGTTGCCTCCAAGCTCCATTATATAATGACGATAACGGTTTGCTCTGTTTGGATAATGCTTTTTAATGATACATTCACTTTTCTCATTTATATTTTCTTTCTTCTCAAAATCTGCATTGGATCCCTAAACCCAATTTGCATTGGTGATTCTACATTTTGTACTCGGTGTTTTTTAATTTAACATAAAAAATTGTTACAGCATTTTATCACAGCACATCTTTGATCTTTAATACAGGAGATAGAACAACGTGACAGCAAAGTAGTACGGACATAAAGCAACCTACGGAAGCTTTGACCTTCCACAACAACCCAAGAGCATTCCACCATCTACATTCTACAGCAAGGCTGGACAACCCTGTTGACAATCGCCACAAGTGCTAAATTGGACATGAAATATTTTGCATAATTTTTGCATCGCACGTCTGTGGCTGCATTGAAGAAAAAGTTGCCCACGCTCTGCCCCTGGTGGCATTCGTTTGTGTATGTTAATATAACTGAACAATCTCTCTCCATCGTCCAGAATTATATATGTAGGCATATCTGAAATGTCCTTTTCTAATTATCAGTATATAATAGTTTAATGATAAGCACAACAAACAGTAGAAGTGCAGTAACAACATGAGAACAATCAATTTCTCATGTTACAATCATATACATCCACACATATTTATACAGTATTATGTACAGTATTTGAAAATGAGTTCATCTGGTCTTGCGTACTGCTCTTATTTATTATCGAAATAAATTTTTTACACACAAGAGTTTATTAACACGTACGTAATTCTTCACGATTTCGACGACAATGGCAACTGGATCGATTTCGCTATTTCTGCGCATGATTACACGTCTGCCCTTTCGCTCCTACTTCCTGTCCAACGTGTCCCTCGCGCGTGACAAGCCGGACGGGGGCTTTGTCTGGTGCTGGGGGTCTGGGACCAGTGTGGCGTTGTTAAACACACCCCGCCTGAAGTAGTCGGCTACGACGGCGAAGCCATCTTGAGCGTTCTGCAGCTGAAGCATAGACATTGTACATGGCAGACCGACAGACCGACGGACAGTTGACTGTAAACGGTAAAACAAGTTAAATTGACTACGTCACGAATTTTCTATGGTGTATATTTGCACACAAAAATTCCCTACATGAAAAGTAAGTACTAACGCCATTAAATTTATCCTCAAATCCTTAGCTGATATTGTTTTTCAACTAGTTAAAAATCCAAAAAATCTGGGCGATTTGGTAATGTTGATCACAACATTAAATGCTTGCTATGTGCTATGTATGTCACGAGTGTTTGTTCACATCGAAAGGAATAACAAAATAGGAAGTATAATGCAGCAATTTAACCATAAAAAGTGAACAGAATCACTTACATTTTGTGAAAAATTGGACAATTTTTGTTACTTTTACTAGTTACGGTGACATAATCACTTTAATATTATTCTTTGAGTTCTCAACTGGAAACCCTGGGGTTCTCCCCGGGCCTTTAACGCATGTTTAACATTTAACCTCATTTGTGACGTCCCATAATTCACCCGAAACGCCTGAATTGCCTTGCCCAACTGACATGACTTAACTTCCAGCTGTGTTTACATCTGACAGTGCCAACACAGTCATTTCATGTGTGTTTTCACAGCTTTATGTATACATCTCCGAACTGATCGAGGTTACCTGTGTATTGGGGCCCGCTTAAGACACATGTAATTGACCCCAATAGGCACAACTCCCTCCTATACCCTACCCATCTATCATTAAACGACATGGCTTCTGAAATTCCTGGAAAGAACACTGAAACCTGAAGTTTATCAGGTCAATACAGAGAAAGCAATATTTTGTCCAGTTGATACTTATTTCTTGTATGGAAGGCACGGGGTTGATTCTACCAATGCACAGAAAGCAATGCAGTGCAAGAAATTTCAACGATGACAGAGGAGTTGTGCACAAGCCTTTTAAGCGAGTCGGCATGTATGTGGGCCAGGATCTATACCTGTGAATGGAATTGGTCGTGAAGGTTTCGGCTTTGTTCTTGCTCCTTAATCCTGTCTAGGACTCTCCTGCCAATCAGTGCATAAATAAAAGGTGATACATTGGCACGATATAAAGGTATAGCAAGAGACATTAATATCCACAAATATTGTATTAAAATTATTTTCCCTCGTATGTAGAGGAATTAATGAAGTAATACACATAACTCGCTATCAGTTTGTATTTTTATAGTTGTGAGCTAATTCAAGCAGCGCACTTCAAATTGGAAAATATCACACATAACACAATTCATCAACATAGCACTTTGTATTACAGCAGCTCTTTTTCATCCAAGAGTTGGGATTCACCAAGATCCAAAACTACATTAGGGTGATTACTGATCAGTATCATTCTGTGGGTAATGCTATGTGTGCGAAACAAACTGCAGTCGTCACTGCGTATGAAGAGGGATACCATTGCAAATCGTCCAATTTCCAGAAATAGTATAACTAAGTTCAGCCATGTGGGACGTACGTACAACCACCAATCGGATCCAAAGACAAGCGACTTATTAATTCTTAAATCTTAGATTAAATTTAGACAATTATAAATGATACAACTACAAGTGACAAATCGATTGGTCAACCTCCAGACACTCTAGCCCACAATTGCATAGTGAACAGAATATGGTCTATACTAAAGTTCTTACTTGTTTTGAGGCAGGCAAGCTGGACACTCCTGCTCGTTGTCAGCGTAGCTCTCAAAGCAGCTGAAAGCAGCAATATTCATTTTAGTTTCAACCATAGTTATCTATGTAAAAATGTAACCGAGTAATGGGTAGGCCTATGTTAGCAATTTTAACAAACATTTGTCTTTTGAAGAAATAAGAGGAATTCTTATGTGTTAGCAATGCGCCGCTCTTCTACCACTTTTTCTGCGCAAAGTGTAAAGTTCCGTGCCATAAAACCAAACGTGCAATGTAAAAATATGATACTAGTTGGTCAATTTGTCCAGGGATTCACATTTTTTCTGACACATCCAGAGTCACCGTTGGTTACGTGTTCATTGTAGACATAGCTGTGTACCGTAGAGATTGGACGCTCGCCCGAAACTGGAGAGCGTCCAAACTCCAACTACGGTACAGCTGTACTAGTAGGGAGCACCAATCAGCTTAGTGATGTTGCTGCGCGACACTTGATATCAGTATTTACAGCTCGGTTTGGCCCCTATGTATGCAATAGTTCCGTTTAAATCTGGAGATTACTCAACGCAAATAGGACGTACCCATGGTCACAATCAATCTGGGGAGAAACTCGACGTGACATTCAAAAGGCTGACATAACCAAGTTTATACTTGCAGTGTTAATCATTTGCTCATTAACGAACATTCAGTGATGATGATATGCAAGAGTTCAGTGATCAGTAGCATAATAATTGCACTGCAACTTACGGCGTGTGTGGCTTTAACTTCCTATAATCGTTATAATCATAATAATGAACCAATAACCTGTGGTACGTATACGGTATTTGTCAATTATTTGTAAACCACCTCGAAACAATTCCAAAGGTTATATTTTACCATTGACTTGGTATACACCTTCATTACGATTGCTATAGAACATTAATAACTAAAGTCATCATCCAGAGGGATATCAATTTGGGCATAAGTGCTGCATTATTTTTCCAATGATATTTGTAAACATGCACCGCAGATGGCGAATACGGCCAACGCCAGCAACTGACAAGTTTACATAACATATATTAATTCACATCACAAATTCACCATTAACACATTTCTATCTTTCGTGCTAAACGTGCTTAAGAAGCGTGTCTTTTAAAGTGGTTACACGTTAATTAATTGCGACTTCATTTGCATCCGCCGTGGTTACAAACAACAAACATCCAAGTCAAGGACAAGAAACTAGACGGGCAGCTACTGCAGAGTCCCGACAACGACACCGTCTACCTGATTCTCGATGGATGCAGGAATCCCATACCTAATAACGAAACCTTCAACAACCTGTTCAGGAGCCGCGACTGCATCGAAACTACACGCCTCTTCAGGACAGTCTGTCACTGCACAAATGTTGAAATAACTTCAGGTAATACTGGCAAACTACCTACAGTTGACCCATATTGTTGCTAGGTCATGGAAATTAGCGACCGTTTATACATGTTTCCCGTGCGCACGCAAGTGAATCGTTGACTTTGTGGCACTTCGATGCTGAACAACCTTTTTAGAATGCCCCTATTACAATGTCAATTGAGTAGAGTTACTTGTCACTCACTCCAGATGGATATATCAAGTATTTAAGCAATTAAACAAAAAATTTAACATTCACAAGACTTACTGTTATACATTCATGGGATATTTCTAAGGTAATCTCAAATTCAAATAATTGTGTGCGTGCGTGCGTGTCGGATACTGCTATATATATATATATATGCAGTTTTGGCTTTATAGTGACTGTTGTGTGCAGTTGCATGATTTTTATCGACAGTTTCGACAAATCACGGCGACAGTTTATTGCAACGTATCGGACACACTGCAGGTGTGAATGAACAGAACAACTATCACGTGTGTTGTTGCAGGGGCAATACTGGCAAGGGAAACCGACGGAATGGACCTGTACCTGGTCACTAAAGGTGTCAAAAGGCTCCTCAGCGATACAAACACATTCACGGCCTTCTGCCTCGACTCGAACAAAGTAATTACTATGGATAAAAAGCTCAATATCGTTCTGCACTACGTGAAGGAGGGATTGCCTATACTCGTTGGTGCTCATCAATAGAAACGCAAAGCATTGCACAACATTATCTCACGGCATTGTTTTCGTGTTGTTTCATTTAAAAAAAACGTTTCTTTTGCATTTCAGCTCATACAGCTACTTTTCCATGTAATATTCGAAGAGTTGTACGGGTAGCGATTTCACATTTTCGAAGTTCCGCCTTAGACTGTGTATATTAGTATATTAGTGCTCATGAGATAAGAATAGTCACGCATCTGATTTATAGGAAACAGTTGATAAGCAAACACTTACTGCTGGTGGTACGAGTGCTGACAGAGAAAGTGCACTGAGGGTAGCTCCAACGGGTGGTTGCAGGCACTGCACTTTGATACTTGGAAGATCTGAGCACTGTCGCCGCAACAAACAAATACACAATCATGGGCTTTCCAGTGATAAGTGGTAACCGAGAAATCAGCACAAAAGTGCTGCAGAAAATTCTTCGACTTAAAGTCACTGGACAATTAGTTTCCAAGTTGCACGGTTATCGTATACTCCATGAAAGACTTGTACTTAAATCTATAGCAAATAAACTTCACGATTATAACTATTAAACTCATTTAACTGCTAAATGAATGTTTGCACTGTTCTATATAGAGTCACCTTGTTTTCAACTCCTCTATCTGTCCCCTCATCTTCACTGTCTCCTCCTTGAACTGCTTAATTAATCTCTCGTTCTCAGCTATTTCATCATTTTCCAATTTTAGTCGCTTCATGATGTAATCCTGAAGAGAACGAATTTAGACTTTAGTATAACGATTAAGGTCAAAAACTGCTGAAGCATTTCACTTGGGTGAGATACAGGCCTAGCAATACAGTGGCCACCCGAGATACGAACGGCTCGACATACGAATTTTCAAGATACAAACGACCTCGCGTTGAACGTAATGTATTTGACAAACGAATAAAATTCTAAAAAATGTCTTACGAGTCAGACAATCAGGGCATAGGCCTAGCGCGCGCTCTTTTGGTGCGTCAGTATAAGTACGTGACTCATTGAATGTGGTTGTGCTCTCATGATTGCACTTGCTCTACGTAAATTGCTGTACGTCCTATATAGGGTTCGAGATACGAACAAATCTGTGGAACGAATAAAATTCGTATCTCGGGGGTACACTGTACTGCCAAAGTTCCACTGGTATTCTTTTCTTGGCAGGATTAACTGAAGCGAGTTGGGAGAAGTGCCATGTTAGCTCGAGCACACATGGTGTAAAATACAGAAAGTGGTTTTACCACCTTAGGCTCAGATCCCTAAACCACCAAGTTACCCCATCCTCCTGTCTCTAGTCTTCTCTGTTTATCTATTGTCACTAAGAACTGTGAGCGCACTGATCTACATCAAGTTAAGTTTCCCTTTAACTACTTACTGGCAACATTAATACTTACTTGCTCTATTACTATTTAATACGTGTCATGAAAATGTGGTTATGGTTACCTTTATGACTGCTAGCGTAGCAGTTGAATTCTGGCCCAGTGTTTCGACCACCATTAGTGGTGGTAACAAATTCTTCTTATCAATCTGAGTCAACACTTCAGTAAGATAGGTCTTGTAGCAATCCTCTGTCTTAGCAAAATACCAGAGTGCCTGCACCCACAGGTTTGGTTCCTCAGTCCTAAATGAGGGAAACCAGTGTGTTATAATTTACCATGCATAGTACCAGTAGTTAATAATCAGATGATTCCAATTAGTGAATGTAGTAAAAAATTGGGGAAAAAAGTGGAGTAAAACCTTGTATTTTATACGCACCCAAACTTTTTGCATGTATCTACAATGTTCGTGTATTCCTTGTGTTCCATGTGGTGACTGAGAATTTGCTGGTACCTAAAGATAATAAAATTACATCATCTTCATCTTCATATTTTGGCAGTTAATGCTCCTTGACTTGTTAAAATCAACCATTATGATACGCTATAACCTTCTATTTGATTTAACTTCTACCCCACAACTTACTTTTAAGTCTACTTCATGATATTGCTTATAAAAATATTTCTTTAGTATACACCTGCAACTTCATATTATACAATAGCATACCGCCTTACAGTTTAGACTTTTCATACAGGTAGAGAACTCCAAGTCTGAAATTGTGCATCTGACACAGTACGAGTGCTTGGTCTATGTCATAACCAGCCTGCAAACATGACAATGAATATAAATAACTGATGCAAATGATGTCCAACTTGAAGATGATATCTGCTAAATAAATTGAAATGATATTAAAATGCAATTATTATAATAAGTAGACATCATAGCCTTATACGTTATGAGTGCACTGAAGACAACGTGATAAAAATTAAGTACTCCATGGAAACATCATGCACAAAAAGAGATATGAGTGAAATCCCTACAGATTTCTGTCATTACTTTTAAACGAGATCTCAAAATCTGCACGGTTGTACATCATTAAATAGCATTACTGCAGTTATAGTGCTTAAAGCTAACGACTCGACAATTTCTTGACAGTCGTTTCCGGTGCGATTAAAAGGACACAATCTGGAATTTAGGTATTCTCATGCATTCTCACTTAGGCCCAATACCCCACTAATGATTGACATGGCTTGCATGCACTGTTACAGGGTGCTCACAACTTATTGTTATATTTAGTAATGCATTGCCGGGCGCACACAGTTTTTGCAGGTATGGTCTGCTGGAATAGTCATGTAATTGCAGCACCTGTAAAGGCCAGGCTAAAAGTGCCTGAAAGCATCTAAATGCCTGACCTGACCTAACCTCACCTGACCTGACCTGACCTAAACGCAGCCTAAAGTCCCTGTAAAACATACCGCTGGGTTCTGAAGCATTCCAAGGATTTTCTCTTCCTTTACTTTGCGCTGCGACGCGGAGGCCTCATGCACGACATCATGCAGATAGAGTTCAATTAGGGTGTTGTACACCAAGCTAGAACTACCAGGCTGCACCTGAGACAGAATAATAGCAAGAAGATTCCTCAAATAAGAAGTTTGCATCGACGTGTAAAATAATGCGGGGAAAACAGCGACTCCATCTTCTGCCTGTGTGTAACTCAGTTATGGAAATATTTACTTTAAGTTATTTTTCAACAATTTTTTTAAAAATTATCAAAAATATAGAACAAATTTATCTTTTGAGAATGTACTTTCCCTCTATTTCTAGATTAATTAATAAATGTTTGTGTTACGCTTATATTCTTTGCTAGGTGAATTGACAGACATTTGAAGTAAATGTTTGCACTGTGAGTACGTGACTTTCAAGATACCTTTATCATGTGTTCGAGAAACTCTCTAAGCTTTGCAGAATTGTTGACAAAAATGTGAATGAACTCGTCTGGCTTGGCTTGCAGAACACTGCGTGGTGCAGATCCTAATAAAAAGATGTAAAACATAACAACAACAAAACAACAACAACAACAACAACAATAATACTAATAACAAGAGAAACATGGCTGGTTTGTATCGCCAAAGATTGCTGACGAATATTAAAAGGTGCGATGTTCTTTTGCAAACGAACCAAAAAAAAGTGCTAGATAGTTTAGAAATGTGTGAAATTTTAGCTTCTAGTCACTTACCATCCAACGTGTTATCATCAACCAGGGGCACTGCAAACAAAAGTGATTACAATTTGAGCATCTTGTAATATTACGCTTGTTCTCGTCACTTGTCCAGCATTAGACAAAGAAGTAGTTTATGATTCACGATGATTGTAAACACACTGAATGCGAGCATGGCAAGCGAGAAAAGGAGTTATGATAACTTCAATCGCTGTTGATACTAACAGAAGTACATAGGGTTCTCTCCAGGAATTTCAGAAGGCATGTCAGGGAATTCAACCATGGTTGCTAATTGGAGTTAATTAAGCGTGTCGTAAGCGGCCCCAATACGCAGGTAAACTCGATCAATTCGGCGACGTATTCATTAAGCTGTCAAAACACAGCATGACTGTGTTGGGATTGTCAAAAGCAAACACCGCTGTAAATTAAGGCATATCGATTAGGCAATTAAAGCATATCAGACGATTTATCGGATGTTCCAAATTAGCTTCAGTTTTCGAACCCGAAATGCGTTATACTTAAAGACCTGGGGACAACAATGTTACATTACCAATGTTATTCTGTTTCTGATACCAATACCCATTGGTGCAACAAAACTTGATGGTTTGACTCTCCACCGACCACCATCGCTTCTCTGGCAACAATACTTACTGTTGACTGGCCGGTAGTCCGTACAAAGCGTCTTTAACAGTTCAGTTGTCTGGTCTGGCGCTTCATTCACCAACATCTTCCCGTGAGCCTTCATAATCGCCTCCGCCTGTAAAACAAAGGAGTGTAATTAACAACGCATCTTGTGTGCAGATGTTAGGATAGCATACATCAAGTAGCAGATAGAAATGTAGCAATGGCAGCTCATCAAACCTCCCTACTTCAGACGTTTTTCCTTAAAGAGAGTCAGTACAGTAATAATAACTATAGTATACTATAACGTTAGAAATGAGAGCAGATTATAGACTATGATACAATTTCCAGCTAGCATTGTATTTTGTTAACAAAATTTCAAATCTAACACACTGCGCCTTACGGTGAATGCCATATTTTACCTCATAGA